GAGAGAGAGAGAGAGAGAGAGAGAGAGAGAGAGGAGGGCGGGAAGCAATGAGCCTACCCACCTGTTTGAACTTAAACCAAAGGAGATTAAAGCTACTCAAAAAAGAAAGCATGCCAAAATGAGGTTTAATGAACACAGTTTGTAGCCACCAAATAACAAGTTCAAGAGGTGTTCGGAAGGGAGAGAGAGAGAGAGAGAGAGAGAGAGAGAGAGAGAGAGAGAGAGAGAGAGAGAGAGAGAGAGAGAGAGAGAGAGGTGGGGATTCTGGGCAAGAAAGAACCTTTGAACACAGTATGTAGCGATCAGATAGAGGGAGCGAGAGAGAGTTGGGGAAGAAAGAATCTTTTGGACCTCGTTTGCTGGGCATCAGTGGGAGCTTTTCAGCAAGTGGATCTGGATCCTTGGGAGTTTTGCTGGAAACATCTCCCGGAGCAGTAGGTCTGCTTTCTATCCAAACAGCTGCCTGCCTCGCACCAGGCCAACCATGGCTATGGCTAAGGCTATGGCCACCGCGCAGCTGCTGAATATCGCCGCGAGCTTGGGGTACACCGACGGCTGTCACTTTCTTTCCCTTCTTGTGATCCTCTATCATCTGACTCCGTGCTACTGCACCACTCTCTCCTGTTTCTCCTCTTTCTGCCCGTCTATTCTGACCGTAGCACAACTCCATTTCCTTGTCCAGGACTGCAAGAAAGTTAATAAGAAAAACAAAACCAGAAACAGAAAAAAAGCATTGATGAAATGAAAAACAATAAAAAAAAACGAAACAAAACAACAGTCAGAAAATGCAACAAGCTACTCAGTAACGATGGAAAGATTACTGAGGATCTGTAACAGATTCTGTATGTTAAAACTGACGAGAGTTACTGAGGGTCTGCATGAACTAAAGTTAGGGCCTACCGTCTTCATCCGAATAGAACGGCCGGTCATGATAGCTGTATTTCGTGCAACTTTCAGTCCAGATACGGCAATAATTACAGGGCGTTCTATTCGGGTGAAGACTGTAGTTGCACTACCTGCCATCCGCCATGGGTGGCCAGTGAGAAAAAGGTAAAACTGTGGCGAGTTGTAGGGGTGGTTGCATTAAACGCATTTACGGGTCAGTGAAGCTGAGCAATCGCCAAGAAGTGGTTTTGTGGAGGGGTCACCAGGACGACCCTCCACAAACCAGTCGGTACAGAGTACAGAACTCGCCACACTCTGTGGCAGACGAGGAAAAAAAACTGCTCGATAGTTCTGGCAGGTCCCCCCCCCCCCCCCCCCTCAATGTGGCGAGTAAGTGCAACCACACACCTACTCGCCAACCTCGGGGGATGGTGAGTAGTGCAACTAGGCCCTTACTGAGAGTTCGCATCAATGAAAGTTACTGAGGGTCTGACACCTCTTGCCCCGATTCTGTGAGTTACTGAGGGACCGTAACTTAAAAGATTCTAAACAGTGACATAGGTATTTGGCCACCTTCTATGGGAAGATGCACTCACAATTTTCTTTTTGCTTCACGAGTAATGCGGCAACTTTTACCAGGGCTCTTAGTGTTTTCCAATGAACAGGGCCCTTGATTCAGGCCCGATACAGTCATGATGAGGGCGCATTGTGTTCTACCACGTCTCTCTCTCTCTCTCTCTCTCTCTCTCTCTCTCTCTCTCTCTC